CACTGGGTGGGGAGGGGAGTGAGGGAGCGGCTGCGTGGTGCTGAGTTGCTGGCTGGGGTTAAACCACGATACTCCAGCATTTGTCCCCGCTTCAGAACAGCCAGCAAGGTCCTGCCTACAGGCTGCTATCACCCTCTGCTCTTCACAGGACACAAGATAACAGCAGCTGACAACACAGGAGGCTTCGTTCGAAGCAAAGGCTGCCCCAGCTGCCTGCAGGTGGAAAGTCTTGGCTTCTCACGTGCGTTTCATCACATCTCAGAGGAGACATCTAAAGTACAGTGGCAGAGTTACACCCTTGAAGTCATTTCTTTTCCCGTGATCCTGAGGAGACGAGCAAGAAGGTGTCCATAGGGTCCGCGAGAACAATCCCAGCCTAATTCCCAACGGCGAAATTCTTCACCCTTGATTAGAAATATTAAAAAACACTTCGCTGGCATTTCAGCTGTTCTAACGAACTGGTTAACTGACTGACTTAAACTCCTCCGCGTTGCCTCCTCACCTCTCCGTGCAGCTGGCACAACCCGTGCCTCATCCAGTGTTTTATTTAGCTGCTCATCAGTCGCCCACCCTCGCGTTTTACTGCGTTCACGCAGCAGGTTCCGGCTCCGCTGGGCAACTCCTCGGGCTTTCGTCATTCCCCTGTTTCTCCTGACCCGTTTTAGGCTGTTTTTCCAGCACGCTTCTAAGCGGCCGCCCACCCCTGCCGCAGCCTCCGCCTGCGCGCTGGCGCTGGGGGGGTTAATGCGCTGGGGCGCGCTGGCCCTTTAAGCGCCCCCTCCCCGCAGGGATGGGAAGGCGCATGCGCAGCCGGCTTGGCGCATGCGCAGCCGGCCCGGCCATGCGGGTGCTGGTGGGTGAGTGCGGGGTCGCCGGGGCGCGCAGGCCGCGGCGGGGCGCGTTGTCCCTCAGGGGCGCTGGTGCGGGGTGGGGGGTTTCGGCCAGGCCGCTTCTGGGAGCGGGGTGGGCGCGGGAGGTCCCCCGGCGGAGGGAGCTAGTCCTGAGTGGGGGCCGGGGCGCCGTGGGAGGCTGCACACGGCAGGCGAGTGCGGGGGCTCTTGTGAGGGGGACGTAGTTTTGGAAGGGGTGGGGGGCAGGCCTCGACTGCGGGTGCTGGGGGCAGAGGTTGGAGTCAGGCCCCCTTCTCCCCTTTCCCCCGGCGCTAGCGGGTAGGACGTGGTGCCTGGCACCCGGGCACAGGGAGCGGAGGCCCTCAGGGCTGGGGTGCTTTGCGGGGCAGCTGGGGGCAGGGGAGTCTGGGCCCAGAGTAATGTACCGTGGGAAGCTGACCGTGGTAATGGGGGCACCTGTGCAGGCCTGGGGATGGCAGTCCGGGTTAGCAAATCTGTAACGTCCTGTCTTTCTCCTAGGTGGTGGGACTGGCTTTGTGGGCAGAGCCCTGACCCAGTTGCTGCGGAGTCGTGGGCATGAAGTCACCCACGTGTCTCGACAAGGAGGCAAGGATCGGATCAGCTGGGTATGAGATGAGAGCCTTCGCAAGAGGGAGAACGTGTCAGGGCTGAGGAACTAGCCCACTTGCCCTGGCCTGCCATGGCGTACAGGGAATCTGCAGTGGGGGATCAGGCTCCTGTGGGAGATTCTTGGGCTCCTGGGTGCTCCACGGTCATAGTCATTGGGATGAGTACTGCTGTAGCTCCAAGGAGCAAAGCCTTCTCCATGCTTGTGCTCCAGGCAGTGTCAGGAGGGAATTGGCTGGAGTTCTTAGGAGCCCGCCCTGCTTGGTTGTTGGGAAGGCTTGAGCAGAGGGAAGGCTGTGTGTGTAATGTCTTGTCTACCCTTGCTTAGGAAGAGTTGTCGCACTCTGGACTGCCCCTGTGCGATGCCGTGGTGAACTTGGCTGGTGAAAATGTCCTCAACCCTTTCCGCAGGTAACTTGGTCTCCCGTAGTGCTGTTGGGACAAGGTGAAGGCAAGGTCACCTAGTGTTGTCAGAGAATGTGGAAGGGATCTGGGGAGTAAACAGCGTGTCCAGGAAGCACTTGGGTTACTTGAGGACCCAGATGTCAACAGTTAGGTATCCAAAACATTTCTGTGGGCCTCTTAAGTTCTGGGAGACCTTTGGAAGACAGGTTCCCCTCTGAACTGACAGTTGGAGGCCAGGCAAAGTAGTTCCACATTTCCAAAATGACACTACATTTAAATAATGCAAGATCAGAAGCAAACTTTTACTTCTGTGAGTAGTGTGTTTTTGGAAATGCCTCTGCCAGGCGCTTCGGAAGAATTTACCACACCCAGCTTTGGTGTCCAGGTCCTCTGCTACATTTGTTCTAAGGCAGTCCAAAACCCACAGCCTTTTGTGGTAAGTGGCGAGCCACCATCTCACAAAGTCCTCATGCAGTTCGATGGTAAACTCCCATGTCCTCCCTCTGCTCTGGGGTGGGGGGGTATTCACGTGACCTCTCCTGTGCTTGTGAACGGGTGTCTGCTGGGGCCCCCCTTGCTACTGTTGTTTTCTGGGATGTCCTTGTGGGGAGTATAATCACTGACTCTCTTTCACAGATGGAGTGATGCCTTCTGCAGGGAAGTCATCAGCAGCCGGGTTGAGACCACCAAGACCTTGGCCAAAGCCATTGCTGATGCTGAACAGCCACCCCGTGCTTGGGTCCTCGTCACTGGCGTAGGTATTGATTGGGCCCAGCAAGGCATGACTCATGCTGACGTGGAGAGGTATACCTCCAGACAGAAACACACTTCTAGGGGGACACACATCTCGCCTTGAAATGCCAACTTTATTGCCATCAATGTCGCTGGGTTTAGGCAAGCCTCGATCAGCTCTTTGGTACTGCTGAAGAGGAATTTGGGTCGCTGTGCTTTCTCTTGGTGTCATTAGGACAGGACCTTTTCTCTGTTTTCCTGTGAAAGTCTTTAAGCATCCTGTAGAACCAGTTTGTCTAAGCAGGGCCTCAGCTGAATCCCCCTACATATCTCCAGCTTTGCATTTCTGCTTGCTACAGTCTTGAAAGATGCCACAGTTTAGCATCTGTGATGCCCAATTGTAGAGCAAGCGCCTTTCTATGCAGCCAGCTCAGTGTGTTCCTTGCTAGTATATTTGGTTCTTGGGGCTGCCAGCTCAACCTGAGTATTAGTGCATCCTGCTGAACTTGCAGAGCACATTGGTAGTTCAAAAACTTGTCAGCATTGCCATCAGAGAGACCTTGTGCTGTTCCTATGAGGATGTCCCTGATGGAGTGATTGAGTTCTAAGGCAGGGAAGAGGGTCTGTTTTGCGAGGGGGGTGGGGGAGTGGCTGGTGTCACAATTGAACCCTGACCCTCTTTCCCCCTTTCTGCTGTTACATCCACAGGCTATTACCGCCCTAGCCCCACAGCTGAGTATACTGAGGACAGTCCTGGGGGGGATTTTGACTTCTTCTCACGTCTGGTGAGCTCCTGGGAGGCTGCAGCTCTCATCCCTGGGAGCCCAGCTCGTGGTGTTGTGGTGAGATCTGGTGAGATGGGGCATCGTGCCTGTTCAGGGTGGCTCTGCTTTGGTGCTGGGGCAAGAGGGGGAAGAGGAGGGAGAAGGATAATCAGGTCTTGTGCCTCTCCTTGTTGGGGTGCTGTTCCAGTCCAGCCCTCTTAAGGATTCTCTGCTGGTTGTAGTTCTGAGGGTGGGGGAGGTCCTGTTCTCACTCTGTTCTCTCCACAGGGGTGGTGCTGGGCCGAGACGGTGGTGCAATCTCTCAAATGCTCTGGCCTTTCCGTCTGGGACTAGGAGGCCCCTTGGGCTCTGGGCTCCAGCCCTTCCCATGGATCCACATTCGGGACCTGACTGGGATCGTGTGTCATGCCCTGGAGAGTGAGTGCCTGCAAGGTGTCCTCAATGGTGTCTCCCCATCCTCCCCTGCCACCTCCAATGGGACCTTTGCTCAGGAGCTTGCTGCAGCCTTGGGACGCCCAGCCCTGCTGCCAGTGCCTGCTTGGGCTGTGCGGGCTATCTTTGGGGCAGAGCGGGCCATCATGCTGTTGGAGGGCCAGAGGGTGGTGCCAAAACACACCCTGGAGAGCGGCTACCATTTCATTTTCCCTGACCTGTCTGGAGCTCTGAAGGACATTGTGGCTTGAGGGCTCCTCATTTGGGCTGTGTTGGGCCCTGTTTTTATGAGATCCCTGGCTCGCATGCCTTCCCCTGGGTGAAAGAGGGTAGCCCTGCCCCTTCTTGACAATTCCCCATACAGAGAGGGTGAGCAATCTTCTTCCCTTCTGTCTCCCTTTGTGCATCCCCAGTTTAGGAGTCATCCCTCTTATTGCCATCTGCAGTCTCCACATTACCTGCTTTTGGGGAAGGGCACAAGCCTCTCTAAGGATTGTGAGTGCTGAATCTGCCATCTTCCCTTTTCCAGTGTGCATGTGAGCTGCTTGCAGAGCAGCTAGGGGTTGTAATTAATGTCTTCTCCCCTGAGAGACAGGGGTGGCAACAGGAGAGGTGTTCAGGTGTTGTAATTCTCCTTCATCTTGCTGGAAGTCCCTCTTCCTGTTTTTCCCCATGTCTTTCCCCCATGGTCACAAGGGGACCTAGTTATGCTCTTCTGCTTTGCCTTTCTCAGTCTCATAGGAAATGGAGTTGCAGTTGTGGGACAAGATCCACCTTGAGGGAGCACAGAGGGTGCTGGATACAGATGGCTTGGAGACTGCCATCTCTGTTCTTGTGGTGCCTCTGTGCTGGTACCAAGTTGCTGTGTCGGAACCTCCAGCTGAGCCTAGGCCCAAGAGTTGCAACCCTCCAAGGTTGCATAACCTTGATGCTGTGGTGGGCATGAAGGAGAACACTGCTTTGCCAGCCTGTAGGGACAAGGGTGGCAGTCTGTTGCACCTGGACTGCTCTTGAGGCCTTGGGTAAGTGTCGACTACATCTGAGCTTGTGCTGAGGAGAATCTGGGTGGTTCATCTTGGTGTGAGGTGGTGTGAGGTAGTGCAAGGCACTGCCTTAGTCTAAAGGGAGCACCTCAGCTGTTGACTGTTGTAGTTATCTGGTCCCTGGCAAGGTGGTTTTCCTTTATTCATCCCATGAGGTGGTACTTTTATTAAGGGCATTCCCACTGATTGGACAGTGAGAATATCCAGGCTGCCTGGGCTGCCTTGGGAAGCAGTATCTCTTCTCTTACGGAGAACATTGCAATTTCATCATCTCATACTGTAAGGAAATGTATCCACATGCTTCCCTTAACCCATTTTCACATGCCAAAGTGGGTTGCAGGATGTGAAATCTACAGAGCAGCTAAGTTCATTATAGCACTGCTTCTGGAGAAATATTCCTACTGTGATGTAATTTGGGGCTAGAAAAATATATTTAAAAGCACTTCAGGAAGTTAAAAAGACCTGCTCCATTCCTGAAATAAGAAACCTTCCAGAACAAGAACCTGGCTTATGCCAGGTTAATGTGGTCACAGTAGCGGAAGGGTCAATCTTGGTGGAGTCTAGGCTCCCCACTCACCTACCTCTTTGCTCAGTCCATACTGGAGATGGAATGGCAATCTGCTGACTTTCTGGGCGGAAAAATTAGAGCAGGACTGTCCAGCTGGAGCTAGAGATAGTCCTTGCAGTCAGTGCGAGCACAGCCAGGTGAGCTGCGACTTTGGGAATAGCTATAAAAGCAACATCACCTGAGATAAATGTGGCTTGCTTGGATTGTGTCTGTGCTGCCTGTAAGTTGGGTGCAGATTCTTTTATCTTCCCATGTGCCTCAGTTTCCTGTCCTTGAGAGCAGGCTGACCTACTCTGAGTTACAGACCCAGTTCATTGTGGGGCAATACAATGCAGATGATCAGCAGTGCTTCATCTTTAGTTACTCCAGCTACCTTTTTAGAGCCTCAGACTTCAGTCTGCTTCCCCAGATGTAGTGGACTACAGCATCCTTCTGTCAGGCAAGCTGGTTAGCTAGCCCAATTAGGTTGTTTCTGTACCTGTATGTACCTTCATCATTGCAACAGCCTTGGGTTGTGATTGGAAATAAAGACAAGTATGGCTGGAGAAGAACTGGCATCCTGCAGCTCTTCTGAAAGAGGGTTGCATGTCCCGTGAAAGACTACCACTAAGCAGAGTTCCTAGGCCTTGGGCTCCCTGCCTGGATGGGAACTCACTCAGGATTTTGAAGGGTTGCCTCTGCATGACATTTGGCTTAAGCACATGTCACAGGACTTAGATGAGCTTCTGACACCTCAATCCCAGTATGGGTTCTGAAATTGATGCCTGATACATCAGTGCCCCTGCCTGGACCCAAGGCCTCCTACTTGCCCAGCTGGTCCAGCTTGAAGTTTGCTGGTGGATACACATGCACACCGCATGCGTGCCTGGTTTGTGGGAGATAACAGTCAGTCACCTCCTCCAGCAACCAGGCACACAAGCTGTGAGCTGCTGTCCCACTCTAGCTGCTGGCACAGAGCCCCTCACTTGTGCTGGTCCTCCCAGTAACTGGTTTTGTGGACACACAGAGTTATTACTGCAGTGGTGGTAGGGTGAGGCCCCACTGGCTCCAGTAGCTGACACCACAGGCCAGGGGTGCCTGGTCCCCCATCTGACTTCAGTAGCTGGCACCAAATCCACTCATGCTGATCCTCCAGTAGCTGGCACTTAGTCCTTGCAGCACACCTACATGGGGTAGAGTGGGATTACACAGAGAGAGTTATGAAAAGATCTAATAAGAAGACAGGACAGGCTGTGGTGGTCAAGTGTAGAGCTCATCCAGACCAGCTCTGACTGACCCAGGTTTATATCCAACCAGCTGCTTTTATACCCCTTTTCTGTCTACCCCCCCTCTTTGTTGCTCTCAGCTTCCCCTCCCCTGCACATTCTCTCAACAGCTGACGTGGTCCCATGACTCCATCCAACATCCTGGACACTCAGGTTTGCATCCTTACTGGTTGCAAAGCCCTGGTTGCCTATAGCTTCTTGAGAGCTTATCGATTAGTGTGACTAATGATGTTTGCTTCTGGTTATTGTCTTTGTTGATGCTAATTGGTCAGATTTTATGACTGTGTGTTTGTCTCCCTTTCCTTAACTTCCCAGCTGTAAAAATAAATGTTTTCAGACTTGAGCCACGCATCCTTACCAATTAGGGTGACTGATAAGGTTTGCTCTCATCACATCCCTTATCGTGTGTCAGGATTATCTCTGTATGTTCTTGTTTATGGCTCCTTTGACCAGATATCCTTAAAAGAGCAGACATGCTCCTTCAGCATCCTATGACACTCCTCCATTGACCGGTAATATCAGAAAAAGCTGCACCACTCCTCACTCCCATAGAGCCTGAATGGGGCCCCCCTATGGGCTGCACACATCGAGGCAGGAGCCCAATTCCTCTGGGCATTAACCATGGAGGGGAGCATGTGCAAGGGCTGTGGTTGCTGGCCAACCCATCAGAGACAATAGACATGAACGTATTGAGGCACTTAAGATCAGTAACACCTCTGTAACTGTAACAGTTCGTATAGGCAAGTCCAGTTCTTTGGCTTTGATAGCTGCGTCTCTCCATGCACTGGGTCATGGGATGTCTGTGGCCAGGTGGATCCTGCAGTTTTGGTCTCATTCCAGCAGAGCCGAGTGATCTGCACTGGTGACCTGCTTTGGGGTTAGCTCTGTGCCAACTGCTGAGTCACACTGCAGTATCAAAGACAGCTAGGCTTAGTTCTTCATTTTTGGAACCAGTGGAAGTTCTGTGCCATTTGTAATGTTAGTCCACGTCACACATTCTTTCACAAATTGTAAGACATTGCTGTTTTCCTAATTAAGGTTGGCATTTCCCTTCCCGTACCCCTTCATTTCCAGTGAACCATGGCTCAGACTTGACCGGGACAATTTTCTGAGATTTTAGGGGCATGTCATGACTACCCCTCCTATAAAATTCCCAATCTAACCCAAATGTCCCTTCTCCCAGCTTAAAGGATTGTAAATCAGAAGCTGGAATCTAAGACAAGCATGTACCTCCCAAATTCCCCAATGCAGTGTCCAACTACATATGCACACCCTCCTCCCCTAGATGTGCGTGTAGGGAACATGCATTGGTTCAACCCCTCCCCACACAGGCACACTCATAGAAACACAGGGACAGAGATGTGCACATCATGCCCAGCTGAAATTGGCAGACTACATACTCGGAGAGCGTGGGGAGGAGAGGGAAAGAAAAGCTACTGTCAAGGACAACCATCATTCAATCCAATTATTCAATCTGGTTTTTCAATGGATTACTTGTAATACAAATCAAAAGGACCTAACAAAGCCATTAGTTATGATATTTCAGGATACTGGTTTTTTTTATACTTGGCAACATGCTAATATGCCCTTGTGGTTCATGGGTATTTGGTGAAGGTTAGCTTGGACAGGTATATATGTTGTTCCTCTTTCTGTACTCCCAAAGCCATCTTACTTGAAATTTACTCCTGACCGGCCCCTTTTATACCCCTAACCAGAGAGGCCCCAGTTGACTGGAGGTTAATAAATGTGACACCCATCTATGAGAAGGGCTGAAAGGAGGATCCGGGGAACTACAGGCCTGTCAGTCTGACCTCAGCGCTGAGGGATGTTATGGAGCAGATCGTCTTGACTGCCATCACATGGCACGTGCAGGACAACCAGGTGATCAGGCCCAGTCAGTGTGGGTTTATGAAAGGCAGGTCCTGCTTGACAAACCTGATATCCTTCTACAACAAGATGACCCACTTGATGGATGAGGGAAGGTCTGTGGACTACAGTCTACCTGGACTTCAGTAAAGCCTTTGACACTGTTTCACACAGCACTCTCCTGGAGAAACTGGCTGCTCATGGGGTGCATGAATGTACTCTTTGTTGGGTAAAAAACTGGCTGGATGGACGAGCCCAGAGGGTTGTGGTGAATGGATTTAAATCCAGTTGGTGGCCAGTCACAAGTGGTGTTCCCCAGGGCTCAGTACTGGGGCCAGTTCTGTTTAATATCTTTATCAATGATCTGGAGGAGGGGATTGAGTGCACCCTCAGTAAGTTTGCAGGCAATACCCAAGTTGGGCGAGGGTGTTGATCTGCTTGAGGATAGAAGGGTTCTACAGAGGGATCTGGACAGGCTGGATCGCTGGGCTGAGGCCAATTGTATGAGGTTCAACAAGGCTCAGTGCTGGGTCCTGCATTTGGGTCAAAACAACCCCATGCAACACTACAGGCTTGGGGAAGAGTGGCTGGAAAGTTGCCCAGCAGAAAAGGACCTGGGGGTGTTGGTCAACAGCCAGTTGAATATGAGCCAGGAGTGTGCCCAGGTGGCCAAGAAGGCCAATAGCGTTCTGGCTTGTATCAGAAATATTGTGGCCAGCAGAACTATGGAAGTGATTGTGCCCCTATACTTAGCACTGGTGAGAGTACACCTTGAATAATGTGTTTAGGTTTGGGCCCCTCACTACAAGAAACACATTGAGGTGCTGGAGCGTGTC